GGTTAAGACTGAATCAATGGGGTTGCAGTTCTTCAAACGATATTGTTGATCTCAGCGCTGATTCCCATAAAAACAAGGTAGCAATTAGATTGCAAACATGGGTTTTCTATAAGCCACATAGATTTTTCGCGGTGTAGATGTTCTATGTAGACGTTTCTTTAATATTTGGACAAGGATCAAGCCTATGTTTCTCTCAGACTACCTGAACTTCGAAATACGAAGTTTCATTAATTGGAAGAAGTCTGTCTTTCTGAAAATTCTTCGACTCTTGGGCCCATTCGAATGTATTCACTTGACGAGAGAGCGCTCTGAAGGAGAGTGCAGCGACCTTGCGATTATCTAAACGATCAGATGACCAAAGTTTGCAATTAAAGATTTTTCAATCTAAGTAGATACTGGATACTTCCGGGAAATCTTTCGGACATTGGCCGGACTCTTGTGTGAGTGCGGAGCAACAGCGAATGCTGGTAAAGTGAATTTATTACCATAACACCGGGAAGAGTTAGTTGTGGAGAAAGTGAGTTCGACGTAGTTCCGTACTTGGGTTGCATTGGATGCATTCAATTCAAGCGGCTTGCCTATCGGACGAGGAATTCGGTCGATTCAACCTCTAATAGAGGGATAGATGAACAATAGGGATCGGAGAATAGGTATCGGAATAAACTGATCTCTGGGTCATTCCTAGGAGAAGTGGATGGAAGATGATCATTTGGTTGGGGATTGTATGGAAAAGTGTCACTCTCACAAAGATTGCCGCATTTAAGGTACATCACATAACTTGAAACGCAGAGAGGTGTTGAGCTAGTGGCTCAGAGTGATGTCTGGCCGTTGGTGGTCGTGCGTCCCGGGTTCGCGGACCACCATGCACATGCTTCTAACAAAGTTATAATTTTTACTTACTTGAAAGAACCATGCTCTTTTCGGGCCAGATACATCACAAATCTGGCCTGTTCAATGATCCGATTGGCAACTTCTCAGCTAGGTTGACCGACTGTCATCGATCAAAAACGATCGAAAGCAAAAATCAATCGCCCTTGGGCGATTCGCCGGCTCGAAACCGGCCGCGAACGATGGTGTCTTCGGACACCACCGAAAATTTTAGCAGACCCAGGATCAACCAACTCTATAGTGAGCCTAGAAGCCAACTACACTTGGGCACCTGAGCTGCAACGACGGCTCGCGCCCTAAGTAAAGCACTGGCCCTCGATGATAGCATCCCATCAACCAGCACGTTCCCATAAGCACGTGCAGGTTCACTTCTTGTCAAGTGCGGCAAGACCGAATCAGCCATGGGCCCACTTGTGCGTGAAACGTATCTCGAGCTGGTATGATGCAAAAAATCTCTGAGGAAGAAACGACAGACTGATAAGTGATAAAAGTGATTGGCAAAACTAGCCACCCAGCGGACTCGATCTCTCGCTTCCCGCATAATGTCGTTTGATACAGTTGGCGCTGAACCATCTCACATTCCGCTCACTCAGCATCCTATCTGTCGTTGAAAAGAGACTGTTTCTGTTACTGAACATAACGCAACTACAGGCAACACGGTTTAGCATGCTAGCGCAAACTCGACGATAAAAGTTCTCGAGCAGCTTTGCTTTTCTCAGTTCTATTGAACTTAGGAGGAATTCGTTTTTTACAGACGTTTGGCAACAGCGTAAAACTGTGTCCTTCTGTGGCCTGCCAACTTTCACGCTGGTTTCCTTCCGTCTTATGTGTCCTAATATACCCAAAAGGTAATTGTCTAGTAGTTTTAATATGTATTTTTACTACAAATCTCCTTCAAAATCAACAGATCATTTGCTAAACTGTTATATCATTTAATTTAAATTTACAGGCATACAAAACATCGTCAACGTCAGAACATCGAAACACCAAATCATCAAAAGGGCTATGAAATACATGAAGAAGTCGTCGTCATTCAATCCTTTCAATCAGTAATGTAAAGATGACAATCGAAGGCTTATGTGGCTGTGTAACGGTATGTACTTCGAATGGGGTACACCGGCTTGGAGACTTCTGCCCTCTGAACCTCCCGCTTCGAAAGCATCTGAAATGAACCCAAATAAGGAGGTTAGAAGTAAATTATACACTGTAACTGAGCATTTTTTACTATGTAACATCTTTCAGTGCTCAGGAAATAGGGTTCAAACCTGAAATTCTGAAGTAAAAACTCTCGAAAGCAAAAGTATTCACAATTAGGTATAATCTCGATGGATTTGGGTGATGCAGCCTTGATCCTTGAACGCGGATCATGCCCTCGTCATTTAATCTGCTGAACCGGGCTCAAATTCGTGCAAAGTTCATAAAGTACCCATGACGAGTATGGGAGTTTCCTCTTTCGCTAGTTATAATAATTTTTATTAAAATTTATCACAGATTCATTAGCAGATACCAATTGCTAGGATAACTGTTAGAAAACTTGATCTCATGTCTTCTGATGATTTTCTGATCCTACAAATAGTCGGGACGTCTGAATTTTACGAATCTAGAACTTCACATTGAAGTGGCCACTTAGCTCTGGTCGTTTTTTTCACTATTTTTTGCATCATGACATACTTGTTTTTCAGATGCCAGCAGTTGGCCTCAAAAGGAATTCAGCCACAAGAGGTTACAGCTTGAAATGGCTATCAATATGGTTCGGTGCTCTTCTGGGCTTATACACGACATATCTATTCTTACAATCAAGCAGTACATTGAGTCTTTTCCAGGAGCAGGTATACTTCACTACTATCAAGAGTGAGCAATTCGTACGTCCAAATGCAAAATGAAGTCTTAAGAGCAAAGAACTGAGCATGAAAATTGGTCGAAAACACCTATATGAATAGTTTTTCAGATCAGCCGGTGTTGTAGACAGGTCGCATGGCCATTGCAATTGTTCGATGGTCTAGGACCCGCGAGGAAATAGTGGGCTTCAACAAGAATTAAATATTCACCATTTATCTTATCGCTGCAATCGGGAGATTTCTGCGAGACATGAATGTGGACTACAGTATCCGAGTAATCTAAGTTGGAAGTTCGCCAATATGGGGAACGTTCAATTCTATGGTCGACTGACGTAGGTGACACCGCACACATCGCGCGCGGTGCAGCTCACAGCGACTTCGAGATGGACACGTTTGAATCGCACGAGAGCTTTGTGGTTTGGATTGTTTTCCCGCGCGCGAACATTTGAATGAAAACGTCGGGAATCATTTCAACCTACCGCTTACTATCTTATTTCCCGATTACTCCATTTTTTCATGAGAAAAAACTTGACCACCTCTATTTCGCTTCTTCCACAAGTAAAACTCATTCATTTCTTAACAGCGCGGTGTGAATCGCATTCGAGTACCCGCTTGCGCGAAAATCACCCGAACCTGAAAGTCCTTATGCAGTTCAAAAGGTGTACGGTGCTAACAATGGCCCGTATGCACAACTCCCGGGGTAGGGGAGGGG